TGTGTTGCCTTGCAGTTTTTCAACAGATTCGCGCAGGTAATTATAGCTTCAATGTAAACCATCCTCAGATGTCACGCTTAAAGAGGGAATGCACGTCACCAGCATGCTTTAAAGACAATCTCCATCTCTGCTTTTCCTCCTCCTCCTTCTCTCCTTTTTCCACTCAGCCTATGCGTTTGGATTTGTGTGTGCGGATGAGCAATAGGTTAAAAGCGGGACAACCAGAGCCTCGGGACATGTCAGAGAAAAGGATAGGGAGTGAAGAAGAAGGCAACAGAGACCCAAATAGAGTGAGGAGGTCGGAGGAAGTTAGAGTATCCTCTGTGGCCAACACAATTTCTTTAAACCCAAACTTACAATGTAAATATTTGGATATGGCTAAGGTTGGTTGCTTAATTCCACCCTTTAAAGATGTGCTGTTTAGGTGAACAAGGTCCAAGGAACACAAATCAAAGTATCATTCATCATTTAATATGACGCATGAGAATCTTATTTTGATTTCATTTCTGTAAACCTCGCACAGCTTTTGGAGCCATTCACTACCCTGGGTTCTCAATATTATATTCACCGCCTATAAATGCTCATCATCTAAGTGCCACGCACAGCCAGAAACCTCAGTATCTCCACAGAAAAAGTCATTCCTGATGGAAAGGCTGTATTTTATTTTTACTTTTTGCTTTTAAATCATCTTCAAAATTGCTGATTTGTATCAGTCTGAGTTGGAAAACCAAACACAAATCATATTTAATATCATATAAAGTAGTAGTGACTTATGGGAAAAGTCTTTTTTTTCCCAGACAGACAAAAAGTTTCACTTTATGGTCGCTGTGTGTAAACTCGGCGGTTGCTATCGTGTATTTTTTATTATATGTTTGCAAGCACATGTTGGAAAATCTTAATGTCATCGCTTTGCACATTATTTTACCATAAAGAAATACATTGTTGTGATACTTTGGCCATCTCTCCAGGCCTGAAAGTGCCCCACTGTGACCACAGCATGTGTGAGGCTGCAGCGTCAGCACGGCAGAAAGCCTCAGGCTGATGTCTGCTCTAACAGAGGAATGCCACAGGAGCTGCACTGATTGAAATAGACACATCAGACTGTCGCTGCATCTGTAAACGGGGCGCCTCCTAATCGGGAGGAGAACGCCTTCATACTCAGAGGAAACTGGATTCACCAACCGCCCTCCCGTCTCGTAATAACATTACCCAATCTCCTTTCAAGCCTAAGGTGACGGCACTCGAATCTGTCACCCGTCATCTATCTCTCGCTCGCTATTTGCGCAAGTAAGTAGCTTGAGCTGATGGAAACTAATGGTCAGAGGTTGAACGAGGGACTCCATCAGACTGGTCTCTGTCTGCCTGCTCAGCAGTGCCCAAGCTGACCTCAGCAGACTGCCAGTCTCCTTACCGCTCTGCTGCTTGTGGCTCCGCTACCACCTCCCACCATGACCCATGACCCCTGCCCAGGAGAAAGGCGCCACCGATACGATGCAATTTCTCTTTGACGTGGTCCAGTGGTCACGGCTGCCAAGTGACCCAGGCAAAATAAATATCGTTGCTTATCACAGGCCAGCGCCAAATTTCCCAAAAGAAGTGTTGGACTAAATCAATTATTGTTCCAGTGGAGTTTGATGTTGTGCATTAATAACACATGGTACAGTTACTATTATTACGGTGATAGTGGCATTTACTTGATAAGTCATTATGTAATATATGTATCTACCCTTGAGGGAACAAAAGACATAAAAAGAGTGTTGGTTATGCAGTGTACACTCTCTCTGCTGACTGCACTGTCTCCAGCCTTTTCCAATCTGCGCTGAAAGCACTTCGGTACCGCCCAGCTGTCAACCTACATCGGCCTTCAAAGGACTGGAGAAGAACCATGCACCCTGCCTGCCTTTGTTTCCACAGCCTTAAACTGCCTCTCACAGAGACATCCACACCTCTCTGTCATCTAAAAAAGACCAGAGAGAGGTCCCAGACAAACTGCACTCTTGTTAGACCACAATTGTCTAAAGAGGGTTCTGCTATACTTGATATCTCTCTGACCCTCCCACGCTACCACAAACACCACCACTAAACAGAAGATTACTGCTTTAAACATGCCTCCTCCTCCTCCTCCTATTCCAGAGAGGATGATATATTTGCCGTACCACTTTTCAGCCAAAAACTGCTTCCTCTAAATTCATGAGTCACAAAGCAGTGCTTCGAGACCACCCATCTCCCAGGAGTCCACTGTACTGGTACTGTAACAGTGGGACCGGGCCCTCCACTGAGATACCTACAGTGTGATAGGCAGTGTTGGGAA